CCTGATCCAACGCTACAGAGCAGTATAAGGAAAATTTCCTACTCTTGGTTTCAGAAGACAAGTAATTAATGAAGCAGGATGAGACTATGGTAACATGACTAGTCATGTATGGGACAACTTCCACTTCCTGGAAGTTGGACAGTGCCTTTGTACAGAACCTCTTACCATTTGTTATATGCTAAACCATTAGATTTTCTATCCACTCTAATTTTTGGCAAGACTCTGATGAGATCAACAGCTTATTTTAATTAAATTGTACTAATACTCTGGTCCGTAAAACCTTGAGTTTCAAAGAACATCTAATAAGTATATGAATCTATGTGTCTACTCACAGCTTGGAGCTGGAGAAGCAGATCATTTTTTTCCTGAACTAAAGAAACTTGCTTTTCTTCAAGTTCCTTTCTCCGGGCTTCAGATTTTTCCAGGGCCTCCTTCAGTTTCAAGAATTCTTCCTTCATATTGGCCATCTCCTTTTCAGTTTCTGCAGTCTTCAGAAGAGGTTTGATCTTAAAGAAAAGCTTCATCCAGGGCCAGTTCTTGACAGCCATAAAAGCACGGATGTTCCACTGAATTACAAGAAGAGCATCCCTGGTTTAAGAGAAAACAAACAAAATTCCCTAAACCTCAGCCTGAATTGAAAAAGTGAGGTTTTTTTTTTTTTCAGTTTCAGTCAGTTTCGTGGCTTTGTTCTGAGCAATATTAGGAACTTGTACTAGATTCCAAGAGATACAAGAAACTTCCTCCACATTTTCAGAGACACAAAAAATTTCCAAATCTGATTTTTACCAGAGCTTCAGGCAACTAATATACAGTTTTGTTTTATGCAGTTATTTTCATCATACATCCACTTTAAGCCTTTAATTTAGGGTTATCTATAGCCTTAGGGACCATAATTAATGGCTCTATTCAACTTATAATTAAATGGTAATTACTATTGTCTGCTAAGATTTAAGGGGGTGCCTTCATACCTGCGCTCCACTATCTTCTGAAACTCAATCCTCATCAGTCTGCCGCGTGCTCTTGCCTGGATCATCGTCAAGATTTTTGCAAGTCTCTCATCCCTCATCTCTTCTAGATGGCCCAGGAGACCAGCCTTGAAGAACACCTGGTACATGCACAGATGTCATTTCACCATGACAAAGGATTTTATTTCAGAGTTACACAGACCTTACTGAAATAGTTCAGGATGGTATTTTTGTTGACACATTATAAACTATACAAGTAAGGAAGGCCAAATACTACTTGCATCAGGGACTGCATCGTACAGTTCCAGAGTTGTTTTAAAACTGGGGTTTATCTCCCCAGTTTTGAATAGGCCAAACTACTGTATTGCCACAGTACCTTTCAGCTGTGGCAGGGTTCTAAGTAGGTCAGCTGAACCACAACTTCTGACTCCCAGAAATCCCTGCTAATGGGATCATGTCAGAATTGTACATGGCCTCATTTCAAAGGCTGCAGTTGATCTTGTGGTCCATCTCTGTTTGAATGTACATATATTATATTAAATAAGCTACTGTTTTACTGAGGGGCATAGAGCATCAGCTGCTGCTGTGTCCACTTGTATTGCTGTAATAAAAGCTTTGTGGGAGCTTGACCCAGAGAAATAATGTTCCTTTAAGAACAGCTTAAAACCTACTATCACTGTGCTGCTATTTTGCTGGTTTCTTGTATTATTAAGTCTCCATTAATCGGCACCACCAGAAAGTGCATAGTGTCCTATTCTGAAAATTAAATATTAGATTTTCTCTTTACATAAACAGTGATGATCTTTTCTAGTTACCTTGGTGTGTCCAAAACGATATTGGGTATGGTCAACATCTAAAGATGCCATCAGTTTTTCAGCAGCTTTTCTGCTATCCACAAACTTGTCCTCTGGGATTGCACCTGGATTCAGAATGCGGTACCTGTTAATAACAGATGAGCAATGAGTAAAATTGGCCTAATTCTCCTTTGGTTTTTCTTTCCTCTTCCCCCAAAACTTTAAGAAAAAAAAAATAAAATCACCCAGGGTAATTTTCTACTTTGCATCTACACAGACACAAGGAAGAGCAGAATTCTGTATTCTGTGTTCAGGCAAACTGAATGGAAAATAAACTTGAAAGGAATAAAATACCTCAAATAAAAATAAGAAGACATGTTTCGCCTATTTTGAGTGATGCATTAGGATAGGAGACAGCATAGCTCTGCATTACCTTTGTTTGAAGTCAGCATAAAGCACCCTGTTTGGGAAACCCTTACGGCAAATGCGGATGCCTTCCAGGACACCATTACAGCGGAGCTGATGCAAGACAAGGAATGCATCCATTTCACCTGCAGGGGAAAACCAAGGTTAAATTAAATTGAGTTTCTCCATAGGGCTTCATCTTCACCTCCCTGAGGAAATAGGAAAATATGAGACGTCATCTCCTGAAAGAGCAATATCATTGAATAAGGTGAACAGCACAAACAGTATTTAAGTACTATCTGGTGACTTAGAAGTAAGTAATAGAATGACAGAGTTAAATATACTAAAATTCTAAGACTGTTGTGTTTTCCATACCTGGAGTTTTTGATTCATTGGGGATAATGCATCGTACAAAGTGAGGGGCTGTAGATTTTAGGTTAGTCATCAGCTTATTTAAATTTTCCTAGAACAAACACATTAAAAACACAATTAGCTTTACCAGTTTAGTGGAATTCCAATCACTTATTTCTCTCTTTGGTTTGTTGCTTGTTAGGCTTACTAAGGTCATATTTCTAAAAAATCTCCAACTAAGTTGTAAGCTTGCCAAAATTATTACAGAGAAATATGTTCAAATAAACCTAAGTAACTTTATTATAGGATTCCACTCAGTTGTGGTAAAGTCTTAAGAAGTCATATGTTTTACTTGGAAGCCCAGAAATCTCAAAAACAAGATGAGCAGCAAGCAAGATGTTGTATCATCCTGTGGAGCATTTCTGTAAAACCAGCTGCATTTTCGCCTCGTCACTTCCCCACTCATGATCCTGAAGAGTACCTCCAAACAAGATAAAGTGACGTCACAAGGGGGGGTCACTGCGTTCTTCTGTCTTAGGTTTTCCTACATTAGAGCTTCCTCAATGTTACCCATAAGAAATGGTAAAAATGATAAACCACAGGACCCATTTTTCCCCAGGCATGATCCTAGTGGCAGCTTCCACCAGGAGCACATGCCAATCCCAGCAGAAGTGGATAACTGAAGAAAGAAGAGACTATCTACCACTTTGTTCAACCACAACTGCTTTAACCCTAGGATCCAATTCCAAGCAGTAATAAAACAGACATTAGCAAATTATTCGTAATCAGTTCCTGTTCCAAAGGCAGGCATGAAGCTGTAACCTACAAAATAGGTGATAAAATTTGTTCTCAACATTTTGTGATACTTTCTCAAACAAAATAAAAAACCCACTTAATCTCATGATTGCTCAAAGATGATCAAATGCAGCAGCTCCTGACACACAAAATTTTAATAGCAATGTATTCCCTTAGCCAAGATCAATAACCCAGTCTCCAAATCAAATTCCAGCATTTGAATTTCATTTTTTTCTTGCCCATTACAATCCTTAGCATTCTTCTTCAAAGCATTGTCTTAACTGAAACCATCAGGTGAGGAGAGATAAGCAAACCTTGTGCAACGATGACACCGTTTGAAAAGAAGCACCTTTCTTGCGTTTCTTTTCTCCACCCTGGTCACCTAAGGGGAACAAAGAAACATAAAACAATCTGTATCTCAGTAAGAGATGCGGGCAGGATGTGGGAAACAGGCAGACCATTTTAATAGCACTACTCCCTTTGACTGAAAGGCATAGCTAATGACCTGATAGCTCTGATTGAGCACATCATGTGTGATACATCAGAAATTTGCAGCTCTCTGTCCATATTTAGGATTTTTGTCAAAGACCACTGCAAGTTTTCTGGATTGCATTTGCATTTCAGATCTATACCGCATTCTTGTTATGCAGAAAGTCCATAAATATGAATAAGGCAGAAAAATAACTTTTAACAAAAGTCATTTGCAGTTTGTTGAAAGCTCCATAGGGTGAGATGATGTAGAAAAAGAAAAACTTAAATAAAAATAATGCTTAAGGAAAATGTATACTGTACATTGTACTGTATAGGCACTGATTCTCACATGTCTGCTATGCAGACACTGACCTTGTGCAAGTAACATTTGTCTAGAATAGAGGGAAATAACTATTTTTAATTTTAGATAAAGTAGCTTTGCATCCCCTGAATTTTGCTTAAAGCTTGGAAGTCAAAATCACTCAGATCCTCCCAAGGAATGCTGGATTCTGACAAGCCCTTTACAAAGTTTCACAAGTTTCAAACATGACCCAAAAATGTACAGCAGTTGCTGCAGCTTTCTAAACAGTGGACCATTAGACCATTCCCAGGAGGTCTGGCATTCCGTCACCTGTCAACAATAGTCAACATAAACGGAGAAATGGAGAGTGCAACGTGCTTGATGGAATTATCCACAGCCTTTCCCCCTTCAGAAAGCGACACTGTTGAGACTGGAAAAGGCTAATCTGGACAGGCTGTTCCTTTCTCCTGACACCTAAGAAAAGCGAGGTAGGATTCTGACAGACAGGAATATCCACAGGCAAACAGGCAGTTAGTAATTTGCAAGGATTTGCTAGTGGTAGGATTTTTGTTATGTATGTTCAGGTCCATCTCATTCCATTATGAAGCCTTCAGCCTGCTTGCTTCCTCAGGAAGTGTCTTGTGATTCATGACAACAACATCTACTGAAATGAGGTGAGTAAAAAACAGGCTATAAGTGATTGCAACTTCAGGACATAGGAGCTACATCTTTGTAATGAATACCAGTTATTTACTTAAGAGCAATTTGCTGGATGTTTACTACTTGTCTTCTCACAAATAAAACAGTTCCGTGTAAAAGACAGAGATTAAATACATCCTCGGATGTATATTAGTCTTGTCAAACAAAAAAACAACAGCAAACAAAAGGAAGACATATTGCCAAAGTCTTCTACTTTGGCCAGTATGAAATGGTGTTCCTGTACCTTCAGTATCTACTTGCCACTAATCCAACAAAATATTCCAATACTCTTTCTTAAACTTGGTATTTCTTATTTACTTCAGGGTTGGGAGCAAGGACGATTATAGCATGGGAAAGAAGAGCTGTTCTTGTTCAGAGGTATTTTATGTACACAATTTTTTGTGTGACACTTGGCTGCATATCTCAACACTTGCATGCCTAAACTCCCACTGGAGTGTTCACAACACACAGATTTCCTTGCCAAAATTGCTCAGAGATATTACACATTCAAACTAGCTGACTTAATGGTCTCCTTGCTATTACTGGCAAACTCCTACAGATGCTGTGCGCATCTAACTAATTAGTCACTGCCTCATCTAACATTGAGACAATTGCATTTGAGAGAATTGCTTTGTTTCTGAAATTCAGACATCCCAAAACCCAAAGAAAACCCATGTGAGCTGTTTCTGCTTACCGCTGTCAGCGCCAACGTAGCTTTCAAACAAGCTCGCCAGGAGTTTGTTGGATGATTTTTGGAAAATACCTACTACGGTTTCATTAAGTGGGTCTTTGTTCTTCTCAAGCCATCCAATGATGTTGTAGGGAACCTACAGCAAGGCATTGAAAACAAACCAGAGGTTGCAAATGTTCCTCGCCAGAGCAGCCAGGAGCTCTTTATGGTTTGGCTTGAAGCCAGTGACTCCTTGTGAAGTGCTGTGCTTAGTGCAGTACCAGCTGCCCAGTTTTTTTATCGCTCCCCCTCCAGTTCTCTGCTTCCTAGCACCCAAACCTCTCTTTCTAATAATTACCATCAGAATCCCATGCACCCCTTCCAAACTATCTGGTCCCTACATTTCCCATGGACTCCATGTGGTTGTAGAGATACCACGTCGTCGGTGGCCCAGAAACCCTACTAATAAGTGCTGAAGTATAAACCACACAAGTAATTATTTAACTTCAAAATAGCATGCTACACTGAAATAATTAGGGTTTTCTGACAGAAATATAATGATTAAAAATCTGACTCCAGGACTTTACCACAGCTCTATTTAGTGTGAAAATATGTTCCATTATGAATAGCATAACGGAATAGAAGTTCTAAATTTCTTTGCATAATACATTAACAACTACAATAAAGACCAAGATGGGAATTATTTCTTTTAATAAATAAAAAATGAGCTTAATGCTCAATTATAATTTGAAATTAACAGCGTCAGGTAAATTCCAGCTCTACTGTGCTGAGGCTGGAATTATCATCTGTAAAAAATGTCCTGTGCCCCTCTCAAATTCTTCCTGCCTATCTGGTCTGAAAACAAAGTTTTGAAACTGGGCAAGTTTTGGCTCAGGTTTCACAGCACTGAATTACATTGTTGTTCACCCCAGCATCAGCAGACCTGTTAATTAAACCCCCACAGCAGAGTTAACCACTCTTCCTTTTGCGACTTTGACACAGTGGTCCTAGTATGAGTAAAAACTGATGTTAAATATTTTGTTTTGTTTTTTTTTTCTTTTTTAAAACCCTCCTGAAGTTAGGCAGAAATTTATCAGTTCATTTGTTCAGGAAATGAAGGTGAAGAGTTAGATGCTGTTGCTGCTGTTTAATCACTAGTCTTAATCTGACTATAGGAAAAATGAAAAGGGCAAGGCATATTTTCAGCAGAAGCACTGTTAGCCTTCCTCAGTTTTTTTCATTCTATTTGTGCATCCAAGGACCAGATGTCCTGGAGTCTAGTGGCATCTAACCGTGCTGCAATACTTGTACAGAGACAGTAGGGTACCTGCTTTTACTCCTCACTGTTCCTTTCTTCCCCTCTTCATCCTTCCCACCCTCTCTTGTTGTGTGCTATGGCCAAAGCCCACCTGGAAGACCTCTAATACAAGGCAGCAGAGGAACTTACTGCACCAGCGTAATGAAGGAGTTCAAAGTGAGCTTCGTACTTCCTCTTCTTGTCAGGTCTGGGCTTCTGTAAATTAGGTGACTTGCCAAGATGGTTGTCATAGAGTTTAGATTTGAACGTCATATCTGTAGCTTTCGGGAACATGCATTCCTCTTCAAGGATAGACAGGATTCCCAATGGCTGTGGATTGAGGAACATCTTTGTTGGAAAATGTTTAGGCTGCCTGCTTTCAGTAGCTGTGCAGTTTGTAAGTTTTATCTGATGGAATTTTAAGCCTGCAAAATTTTTTCTCATCCTGAGGAGGAAGCCTTTGCCTATTCAGTATGTCAGTTGTGCCTTAGGAGACCTTATGATGGCTTCCAGAAAGGGTTTGATTTATCTTTCAGGGCAATTGGACCAACTGCATTTTATCATTCTTGTTTCAGGAAAAGATGAACCAACCTCCTAGCGGTGGACAGATTTTTTATGAGGGACTACAATCATACACAGATATCCTGGCCCTGCAGAAGAAAGTGATTAAGTAGAACACCTAATAATCAGCCTTTCTACTCCAGCTCTTCCAAATGTCCTGATAGTGCAAAATGCAAAATTTCATGTTTCCTTTCAGATCAGCAGGGATAGATGCTGTGCCATAAAACATGGCAGAGAGATACAAAGGGAGATGTGGCTAGGGACAGCTGTGCCCACCAGGACCACACTATACTCACAAAGGAGGGAAAAGGAAAGGCATATCCCATGCTGGGGAAGTGGTGAGAGGTTTCTACCCTTTCCAGGAAAGAAAGAGCACAAAGCATTTTGTACATCAACATGTAATGTGAGAAACAGGAGTCTCACAGGGAGAGGTACAGGGCATGAGACTGAAGCATGGCATTTACCCTGAAAAGCTGACAAGTTTGATGTTAAGTATATGTGGAACAAACTAAATGGAAGAACAGCAGGGACAGAGAAAGACAAAAGTGCAAATCGGGGAAGGTTATACAGCTGTACAAATTACCAGTTACAGCTTGTGGTTACAGTTCACTCTGTAATGCAGACTTACAGAGGTAAAACTGAGTAGCCACAAATACTGATTTTCCTTTGATTCTATACTGTGTGTAGCAAGGCAAGAAACTTGTTCTGCTGTTTATCCTACTCTGTTCACTGGGCCATGAAGACATATCCAAGGGAGTATCATGATTAAAACCAATTCAGTAAGTATTCCTTAGCACTGTACATACCTTCTCAATCAAATCAATGCAGGCCTGCAGGTCCATGCCAAAATCAATGAATACCCAGTCAATGCCTTCCTTCTTATACTCCTCTTGCTCCAGGACAAACATGTGATGATTGAAAAACTGCTGCAGTTTCTCATTAGTGTAATTGATGCACAATTGCTCAAAGCTGTTAAACTGCAGAAAGAGATAAAAAAAAGAAGCATTTGCATTGCAGTTAACAGTGGAACAGCAAGAAGGAAACTGTTTACATCTAAAACCTTCTAAAGAGTAACTGGTTGAGAAACTACTGAGCATAAGACCGAAGGCAAGGGAGGAGGGAGTTCAATATCAGACAGTCAGCAGCCCACATTTGTTCACGTCTCTCAGGATGCACATGCCTTTCCTTCAGCAGCATGCCACACCAGTCCTGTAAAGCACAGCAACACATTTTTTGCTCTGCATGTATGGAGAGCAACATGTAGCAGCAACAGCATTAAGCACTTATCTTCAGGAATGGATTCCGAGAAACAAGAGCTGTGACATGCCTTTCTCACATACACTCCTGTACAACAATGATAGAACAACAGAACAACCCAGATTGGAAGGAAACCCTGTGATATGGCCTGTTGAAAACCTCCAGTGACAGGGGTTCTACCAAGCCCTGGGGAGGCTGTTTCAGTGCATGATTGTTCCCAGTGTAAAAACTTTTTCTTACGTTGATATGAAGATATATTGAGATACAAAGAGAAAGGAATATCAAACTCTATAAAAGATGCTTTCTCTAAAAAAGAAAGAATGGGAACAATACATTCTCCTAAAAATAACTCAAAGCATGTGAGATGTTGTCCCCAGGAACTACTGGTGAGTCCAGCTGTCTAAATGCTGAGTGGTTTTTACATTTGTTAATAAAAAAACCCATATAAAATCATATACACTATATGCTTTATGGCTTTCTCAGCACTTTGCCTCCTGTTCATTTAGAAAAAGGAATACCCACCCAGGAGCTATCGTTTGACATCTTTTATGTCCTTCCACCAAGTCCTCACACATTAATACTCACATCAAAGATTTCAAAGCCAGCAATATCCAGGACTCCAATGAAGAACTGTCTTGGCAGCTTAGTGTCCAAGGTCTTGTTGATACGGACCACCAGCCATTTGAACATTCGATCATACACTGCCTTAGATAAGGCGCCAACAGCATACAAAACCTAAAAGACATGTTTCAAAATACCACTGTGTGAGACAAAATCCACTGTGGAAAACAAGGATTTCAGTGCAGTAGCCTGTTTCCACGTCTGCTTACAGGTTAAATGAAATTTCACAATGGTTCTTATAATCACCAGGGCATACTTAATACAACACGCAGCTTCTCCTATTATATCTGCTGAATTTTTTTCAAATTATTGCTATGTATATATGTGTGTATACTAACGTACATAAAGTGCTCTTAAAGCACCTCTTTGGAATAAGCTGGACAGCAAGTTGCAAATGATTTATTCACTTATACTTCTGGAAGTTAGCTATCAGAAAGCTCACTTGCCAGATGCCAGCCATGATGTCCAGAGCTACTGCCAGAATAGGGGGTGAGGTCTGCGCTCAGGTTGATCACTGCCATTTGCTTCTAATTTTTGAGGGATGCAACAGCGTGAGCAATAGGAAAAGAGTGTCTAAAGTCTCTTCTTTAGCCTATGTATAACTACACCATTAGGACAGACCTCTCTGAAGCAGTTTTATAGTTTCTCAGCCTGTCTTCAAACAACAACTTTTATTGTAACCAAAATGCTGCAGTATCTTCTACAGCTGCAGCAGTGCTAACCAAGGACTTTTTTCGCCTCCCTAAATTAAGAGATACCTTTAAGTGGATATTGCCTTTAGCTGATTGAGGTCACACGGAGCTTAAAATTACATTAATAATGAATGAGTGATGAGTGAATAAATAATCCATGTCTCAACTCTTCCAGGTAACTATTCGCATCCAGAATTAGATATAAATACCCATGTGGTTTTACTGCACCTGGTTTCCTAGAGTGGCTGCTACTTACACATCAGAAAAACAATCCTATCAAAGGCAGTGCTGGCCACTATTCTTTTGTCAGTCTCTTTACCAGATTCCCTCACTTTCACTGTCTATTCCACCAAGTTTGGGGATATAAAATGAGAACAGGTACTAGAGGCTCATGTTAATATTTCTAGCAGTTTTCTGTCTCTGTAAGATCAAGCAGATGAATTCTGAAGGCTTGCAGGGCAGGTTTCCAAGTATCCTGAAAGCTTCACCTTACCTGTTCAACACTTTGACCTTTGGTCACATACTCGTTGCCAACTTTCACTCTAGGGTGCAACAAACCCTTAATCAAATCTGAGGAGTTGATTCCCATCAGGTAGGCAGCTTTGTCAGCACCTGGTCAAGAAAAACAAGGTTTCAACTGGCTTTGAACTCCTACATGGAAACATGCCTAGCCAAAAAAAAATAAAATGGAGTACATCCACTTCCAAAGAGAAATTGGATAAAGACTTTGGTCTTTTAATGATTTGTGTTAGGTGTGCCTGTACTCTCCGTTGTGGTAGAGAAGATCATCTGACTATACCCCAATTGCTGCAAGAATCACACTTAAGAAACTCTTCAAATTTAGGGAAAAGAACATATCTCTGCACTGATTGTAGATAGTTTCATGTGCAAGAGAAAGTAAAGAAGCAAGACCTGCAGACAGGAAAGAGAAAGTTAAGGCAGCAACATTTTACAGCCATTTTGTGCAAATGGTCTCCAAAAGGGAATTTGATCCTGCTGGTCTGACTGTGCATGTTCACCTTCTGCTGAGCAAGGTTACCCACCACTCATCAAGCCTGCTACAAATAAAGCAGGAGCACTCTTGATTGAGCGGGAGCTACAATGTGCAAGAACAAAGCAAACAGGCTGCTGCTTCCTCAGCACACTGCCTGATACATGCCAGAGTGTTGAAGGTGAGGAGAAATTTTAGGTGTTATTCTTACTTTCAGTGCCATCAGCCTCTGCCTGCTCTTCTCTGGGTCTTTGTTTGAATTTCATATTCCCAAAGTGCATGATGGCACCTGTGAGCTTGTAGGAACCAGACTTCTCATCGGGCACAAATCCCAAGATGTCCATGGCTTGCTGTGAAAAGGAAACATAGGTATTTTTTCACTTCCCTACTCAAAAGCAATGGTGTTTTGCAGCCCCACAATCTACCTTTGCTGGCAGATATTACTATTTTGCTGAAGAATGTTACCACCCAAAGCAGCCCCAGGAACATCTTGAAGACCCAGCAGTGGCTGGGAGTGGGGGAACAGTTCCCTTTATCCAGCATTTTATACATTAAAATTAAAAGAACGTTGTGCCCATGGGCACATGAAGTAAGGCCAGATTCAAAAGCATAATAGTCTACCAGTCTCATGACCCCACAGTCTGAATAAAATTAAGACCCATTTCTGCTTTCTCTTTAGTAGTTCCAGTGACAGAAGTTAGGCTCCTCCCAGAGATTTTCCTCCCCACATGCACCTGATCTACGGAACCCAAAGTCAAATCCATGCAGGCTTACATCTGTTGCCAACAATTCTTCTCCATCATCCAAGTTGTCCACTGTAACTACTCCTTGGGAGCAAAAGTGGTAGTCATATGGGTTGGTAGATATCAGTAGCATATCTGTAAAAGAACTGCCAAGGTCAAAACTGCCATCCATTCAGGTTAACTTCAAAGATGGAGATCAAAAAATCAACAGGAATATGCATTTTGCTCTGCACAACTGGGCTGTTTGGTTGGGGTTTTTTTCAACAACTGCAGGGCAGCAACCAACTCTCTTATTCTACTGTTTTAGTCTGAAGATGATAATTTAGAGAAAGTGAGAATAAAAAGAATATGGGAATACTGCATACACATCTATTAAGCATGTATTGTAGTATATTGAGTTTGTAATTTCCTGTATAGCCCTACTTTCTGCCTTGTGTGCCTGTAGGGGTAAAAATATCATCTAAGTAGAGAGAAGTATGAACCAAGACAAGAAGGATGTGCATAGTTTCCCCTTTTTTATAACAGACTCACAAATAGTGACTTCCATCACTCTTTGCAGAGACGCTTGCCTTTTGATAAACAAAAGTCTGAATACGGCTTGCTCTCTCTCTCCCCTTTCCTTTGCCTTCACATCAAAACCCACAACTGCAGATTTATTTTCTAGAAAGCTAGCTGGCTTCAAAACTACAGGCAGAGATCTGCTTCCTTAAATCAACAGAAAGTTTCTCCCACGTGCAGCAGACCAAGGTTTGCTATAGATTTCAATCTTTTGTATACATGCACACGTGTATACTACATGTCCAAATATGCATGTATGCATGTAAATATGTCTATCAATATATGTTTATATAAAATCTTATTGTCTATAAGGCTATCTCACTTTGCTATGTAGTCACTATGTTATATATTCATTTACCTACATTTATACTTGTCTATACTTATCGGTATTTATACTTATCCATATTTAGATATGTATATGTTTATATACAAGCACATACATTTCTTGTCTACAAAACAGAAGTCCCTGTTGCTTTCAGCCTCTTCAAGAGCCTGCAGACTTGCTCATGCTTGCCAGAAAGGTGTGTGCTGTTGTAGAGTATACAGACAGTTTATGAGAAAGAGCATATTTTCCCAGCACAGGGATTCTCACAGGAATCTCAGTGCAAAGCTTCCTTGAAATCTTTCCCGTAATGTAATTGTCATTAGTTAGGCCACATAAAGCTAAGAGTGTTAGGGACTTGACTAAGCACTGTCAGGATAATAAGACTTCAAAAGAGATCATGGTTGCTATGGCCTAGTGGGAGTTTAGAAGAGCAATAAAGTGACTCCACAATGTGTTTCATAAAATGTGTTCCTTCAGAGCACAAATTGAAGTCAGCAAACCACATCACTTAAATAACTAGGGAAGATTTTATTCAAAGCATTAGGAGACAGCAGCAGAGACCTCAGCTTCTCTCTGCCCTTCTGCAGTGGGTCTGTGGGACCGCATTTAGCCAGGGGAATCTTGAAAGGGGTAATCACCACATAATCAGCAGCAAGCAGCTTTGAACATTCTCTCCTGCTACACAACATGCTGGGATGCCAGTTTTGTCGCTTGGGGCAGAAAGAGGAAACTAACTTTTCTTCACAGACCTATAAGCAGATCTTCTCATATGTTAAAATCTGGATAATTAAAGTTTTATCACCACGAGTGCTTTTGGAGGCATAGCATTTTCCAGATGTTTTGAGACCTCGGATTACAGAAATTCAGTGTGACACTTTTTGCCTTTATACTGCTACGTTTTAAAAGTCTTAAACTTTAGAAAAATGGTCTCTGTTGCTGCCACTGGAACAGTATCTCTGAAAGATTGTATTTGACAGTGGAAGTTCAGTTTCATCAAGTAGAAGTGTAAGGGCCTTTCTGCACATGAGTTTGCCCCCAACCCCTCCTTAGCCACTGTCCATTCAGTTGAAGGTTGGTTCTTAAAGGCCTTGGATCCACATAACGCTTACCTAGTAGCTCTGGTTTCTTTCCTGACAGGATTTGGTAGAAGATGTGATAGTCTCTTTCGCCAGGTTGCTGGAAAATCACTCGGGACTTCTCCAATAGATCTAGTTGCACAAAGGAAAATTCAGTGAGAAAGGCTCTCAGAGCTTTCAGATGAGCAACTGTATTTTTAAAAAGGAGAGAGTTTTCTGCTTACAAATCTCAATATCAGCAGATGACAGCTTGCCTGTAGTTCCAAAATGGATTCGGATAAATTTACCCTAATTCACAAGAAGAATATTCTAATTAGTGCATATAATATACACAAAGGGAAACAAAGGATGCTGCTTGATGGCAATCATTTGGCCTAAAGAATCAGTTCATGCCAACTCCTTGGATTTGCACAGAAGGATTTTCAATGAGAAATATCCAGCAATGATACTGTTCTTCTCCAAGTCTAATTCTGTACCTATAGCCATGTAATCTGCTTGTGGAGAAAGGATAACAGTACACTTATCTGCCAGGCTAAGCTACAGGAAAGCACACTGCTTCCAGTTTCATGATGCAGGTTTACTGTAACACAGGACTCAGAGCAATAAGCCTGGACTTAAGGGACACAAGCTCCTTTCTTTGGCTTCTCCTCATTTGCAGTCCTAAGTTATACGCAGCTACTTATGTCAGAAGGGTGGTGTGATTTTACATGGCTTTGCTCATTACATTTGCATATTAATCCATCCCAATTCATTAAAAAATTAGTAGTTTTCATTTAGTTTCTCATATTCAAACATATAAACTTTTTAAAATAATTAATTTCTGTTCCAACTGACAAGCTCCTTGTACAATTGTGCAGCTTAATCTCTGTTCCAGCTAACAAGCTCCTTATACAGTTGTGTAGCTTACAACCACATCTTCCAATTTAATTTTTAGCTAGGTTTGTTAGGGAAGCATGAGCTCCCAACTCAGGTTGTCATCCTCATGCCATTCTTTTTGGACTTCTGAGCCAATGTCAACCAAATGTGGCAGAGGCAGAGCTCCCAAACTATTGCTGTACTGCAAGCCTAATGGAAAGGAGGAGAGGCCCAAGGTCATGTCAGCAGTGAGGGACAAGCAGTGGGAGCTTACTGAGCCAAAAAGGTAGATGTTATGAATCAAAAGTAGGAGTACTGCTGCATGTGTGGGTCTGCAGAGAGGGATGATGTCAAATGGAGCAGGGACTGTGGTGTATTTCTGATACTTAGTGATGAAGTAGTGTTATTATAGGAAGGGGGAGTGATTTAGGCTAGAAGAAAATATGGTAGGAAAATAAGGCTATGTAGCAGAGGCAGTCCTAGAGAAGATATGTCCTTCCTGTTCTGAGGGCTTCCTAAAATTTGGCTTTGCTTGTCTGCTGTTAATTTTAAACAATTTAAACATTTTAAAAAATTATTCAGGGTGGATCTTTCTTTGTTCCTTTTTATTTTTCAATCCTTTCAGTAGGTTTGATTTTAGGTGTTGGGGTTTTTTGCGTGTTTGGTTTTTTTGGTTGTTTTTTGTTGTTGCTTGTTTGCTTGTTTTTGTTAGATTCTACTTAGTCATTCTCTGTGTGGAAATCCAATCATATTACTGGGTAAAATGTGAAGCAATTTATGAAGGGCTTATGACAGAGATATTATTAACTGGCCATTGTTGAATTAGACATCACTGCATTATGTTACAGACTTACAAAACGTGAGGAATTGTCGTTTCTCAGGGTTTTGGCATTTCCAAAAGCTTCTAGGGCTGGGTTTGCTTGAATGATTTGATCCTCCAAGGTTCCCTAGGAATCAAGATTGAAATACTATTGAGAAACCTACAGGCCACAGAGTCAGCTGTCAACTATATCTCAGCCATGCATTCACTTACAGAGTGGAGCCTCTACAGCAAAGTGATTTATTTAGCTTCACCCCAGGGGTGGCACAGTGTGAATGGCATAACAGCAAGGTCATCAGGCAATTACAAGTGCTTAAAAGGTCTCAAACATTCTGCTGCTCCCTACTGTTTTGCTTTGTAGTTTTCACATCTTGTGCCATCTGCATGCAAAAGAAGTCACTGTATCTTCCCGTGTACTGTGGAGCATGTGGGGACATTGGCGTCAATGTGTGTAGGAGAGGGGCTATTGAAGACAGTGACAAGCGCTAGAATGCATTAGATTTGAAAGCACTCAGAGCTTGTAGTATTTGGGATTTGGGGGGATGAGAAAAGCTTTGACTGTCACTCGCACAGACTTCAGTTCGCTGAAGCGAATGACTTTGTCTGCCTGGGCTCCGGGGATGCTTCACTGGGGGAACCACACAAAGTGAAATGCTGAGGTTTGTGACACATCTGACAGAGCCCAGTACCATTTTGGCATGGAAAAGGTAAAATAGCAAGGCTGATGACTTACCCCGGTTTTGGTAGAGGGTTGCTGACAAAGCAGAAACACAATGGAGAGGGAAAAAAAAGAGAGAAGGTAAATATTAATATGAAGAACAACACAAAAGATAAAGATTAGCAAGGTTAGCTGTCTTGTGAGCACCAGTAGTTTTTGAAGCCTTCAAAAATCATGTGTGGTGGTTACTTTGTATTAACCATACATCACAATGGTGCAAAAAACAGATATTGAAGCTGGAAGATGTTCCATGTAGTTTATCAGCCCAGATTGCATTTTATTTTCATTATCATCACCCTTTCCCCCCCCAAATAATCCAAAATTTTGAGTGCAGCATGATCTCATTGCCTAAAACTTGTCTGTTTGAATTTACACCCTTTCATTCTTGCTATCTGGCAGCAGCCTCCTTTCCCTGTCCAGTTAGTTGGTGTTTTGGTTCATTGGTTCCTTCATCTCCAGAGCGAAACCACCATGAGCACCAACCATGTTTGCATGCAGAAAGCTGGCTCTGGACCACTCAGTCATTTGTTAAGAAAGCCTTGCAGGCCTCAGATGAATGTGGATTAGACTTTGATGGTGTGAATTATGTGTATAGACTCAAAGCCTGGCTGAAATTTTGGTCTTACAAATACAGGTCATAAAAGTCAGTTAATTCACCATGCAAGAGCACTGAGCCTTCAAGTGCAGTGAAGCTCATAGCAACACAAGATGAAAAGTAGCATGAATACAGTATTCACTGTAACCTTAGAGAGCACTTATAAGAAAAACAGCACTTATCCAAACAGAGATACAGAAAAGCTGATTGAAAAAAAAATCTTTTGTCAAAATATTCGTATTTTTTGGTGAATAAAGAAAAGCTTTCACCACAACAGACATTTTGTTGAGAAGTTATAATTCTAGTCTTTTTGAAGATTATTTTCCTTATGAAAAAAAAAATTTCTTAATCTTTACAGTCTCCCCATCTTCTGACCAGCTTTAACACAATCAGAAGCAAATTTAGCACACACAAAACCTAAAACTCCTGGAAAAAAGAGCAGCAGCAACAAGCAACTGTCCAGAAACAGGAGAGTGTTTTCTGCTCCATCTGGAGTGTGGCAAGTTCGTCTGTGCATTGCCTCTCTACCTTCAGAATAGCATGCTGTCAGTACTGCAACTTGTGAGGTTAGTTGTACACAACAAGGGAACCTTGGGAGCCTGAAATAAGACAGCCACTGGCAGACTTACGTTCTTTTTACCAGTTTCACCCAGGGCTGCCACTGTGGCAAAGTACTGGATGACACGTTTCGTGTTGACAGTCTTGCCAGCACCAGATTCTCCGCTAGAAGAAGGAGGAAGTCAACATAGGCATTGCTCAAACAGCTGTAACTCATCCTTTCAACCCCTTTCCAGCCAGCTCCTCCCCTCAAGGCTATTCTCAGAATCACTGACTCTGAAGTCTGCAGCCTGTTGTTTGGCCATTTCCGTGGAAATCACATCAAATTGACTGAATGAAGAGGTGAATTCCTATGATAGCAGTGGCTCACTCTTCATGTGACTGGGCTCAGAAGTCCAGTCCAAACCTGCTGAGATTTCTTTAAGCCTTGAAGTTTTATTGCAAACTTCCAGACTGAGTATCTGAGGTAGACCTATATACAGCTAATGAGTTAGAAAAAGTACAGCAAAGCTGCAATAATTTGCCAGCATTACCCAGGAACACATATAAACTGTGTAGAGAAACCCTCAAGTCTCCATCTTTCATGCTTGCCATTAAATGGCACACCTCTTCTCTCTGCCTTGGTCATTTCCCTCTCTTTCAATGCATCTGCATAACATTCTTAAATATATTTTGCAGCAAGAGCAACCACACTGAAAAGAAGGACTCCTCTGTGTTCTGAAGAGGGCAGCTGCAGCAGGGCTAACTCTGGAAGAAGCTTCTCTAACTGCCTACTGAGTTGTCATGGTTTCTTGGAATGAACACTGGATGGGGATCAGAAATGGGCCAACCTCCACCAAACCCTTAGTTTCTCATGGAGCTCAAGTTAACCATCAGATGGCCAAATTGCCAGTTACTCACAGCAACAGTCTCATATCAGTCAAAAAAACCCACTTACGTGATCAGCATAGACTGATTCTCCCGATCTGTGGAGGAGGGAAAAAAAGGAGACAAACTTAATAGGGTGTACAAATTGCTTATTATAATTGTAAATGAGTACTAACTACTCCAGAATCAGTCCTTCAAGGACAGTAGAGAATATTATGAAGCAGAGACAGAAAGATAAAAACTAGTGTCACCTCGAATGACCTCCTTCAGTGAAAGCCCTGCCCTTAATACTTCTCTTGAGTTTTGTTCAAATCAGTATTAAAGACCTGTGAGTCATATACATTCTCCTGTGTCGGGGAAAGTATCATAAAGAAAGTAATTTCCTGTTACCAAAACGTTTCTTCTCTTACTACTGGGCGTGTCTTTGCTCACATCTGACCCTTCTGCTCCTTAAATACCAGACCAACAAAGTAATTTTGCTGGTTTTTCACAGGCCACTCCTTACAATGCCGGAATGAAGCAAGCTATTGTCCAGGCCTAATGGCCTGATCAGAAACAAGCATTTATTAGAACACTTTGCAATGTTAATATATTATTAATTAAGTTCAGCAAATGCTAAATCATGGCAGTTTCCCAAGTCACTGCACCTCAATTCCTCTTTTCTTTTTAAAATCCCAGTCATCATGGCAGGCTACATATTGGATAGTCTTATCTGATAAAAGGGCTTTTCTTTGTAGCCACACACACATCCCCTCTGCCCAGCACTTTCTGTCCCCTCACAGCTGAGGCACTTTCCATTTTATTAAAACCAGGTAACAGCAGAATGTGTTCCAGTCAAGCCTCTTCGGGATTTACGCTGCCGCCTCGCAGGACCTGGTGTTAACACACTGCTGCTGCCCCCTGCTGATAAACTCTTTTTTTCCCAGTAACTTGAGGGTCAGGGTGAGAAAATTCCACAGGGAAATCGGAGGTTCAGTGCCACAGAACTGATGCCCAGAGCCACAGCACCTGGTGTGACAATGAGCCATGGCAAGTCTGTGCAAGTGAGGTGCCCACAGCACCCTCGTTAGCTGGCTTTCACTAACCTTGGAATGCATACATCTTGTCAGTGTTAGAATACAGAGCCTAAACTGACAGTAAGTGTATTTTTAAGGTTGGGAAAACACAGACGTTTGGGACATGGGCCCACTTCTGTTACAACTACTTCTGGATATGGATTCACCCAGACTAGACAGCTAAATTTGTGCACCTTACAGATAAATCCATGTACGGAGCTTACTGTTACCAGAAGTACCACTGGAAAAGGCAGGGAGGTTTAAGAAAAATAAGAGAGAGAGAGAGAGAGAGAGAGAGAGAGAGATACACATACAAAACAAAAATCAGCAAACTGCCAAGCCCTGTTGCTTGTAGAGTATTTTTACATTTGTTACACGCTGCAAAAGCTCTCACAAACTTCCATCCAGTACAACCCCATCAGCTAATTAAAGCAAAACCCAGTGTGAGAGCAAACAGTGCCACTTACTCCGCAGCATGTCGTGGTACGCGTTATCAGCGATGGAGAAGATGTGGGGAGGAGCCTCTGAGCGCCTCTTCCCTTTGTATGCAGCAACAACCTCCGACTTGTAGACAGGCAACCACTTGTAGGGATTTATAGTCACGCAGAATAAACCAGAATAGGTCTGGAGAGGAACACAAAATAAGAGTAGAAAAAAAAACTCCTTTCAGTGAATAAGTAAAAAGCCATAGTTAACCAAGCAGGACCTGGTGTTGCCAGCTTCTGATTTGGGTTTGGATTTCAGCCTTCGATTTGAATTTCTGAAGATACTGGTCTGCTAATTGACTTTCTAATGGCAATCGATACCAAAACTACAGATATGGAAGTTTTCAAAAGGAGAAAAGTGGTTTTGGGATGTCAACCAGAAACAGAAACATCCCTTTCAGTAAAACAAAGGAGCAGCAAATAGACCTACATTTGATTTTCTACCTTGCTACCCCACAAGAGTTGTTTCCTCCTGAAAATGGGCATTGTGATGGAAAGTTACAGTTTTCCCATTTGAAATCCATTCTTAGGAGGAGAAAAAAGCCTCCCATTATTATTTTCATGTGAGCACCTTTGGACAATTTCTGGTGGATGTTCAAAGAGAAAACAACTTCGTAGGGTTATATTCCAAAGATGCGGAGCTTTTTTCAGCTTTTGGAGAAACACATTTGGTAAAAATTTATCTTTATAGATGTTCTTTGGACTATCGACAGTCCAAGTTCACTGGGGCCTGGATATTCTGAGGAAAAATGAGCTTCCAGTTGTAACCTCAGGGAATTGGTGTCAGCAGGTACTTAGTCCAGCTTGAGGCAAAAATCTTCAAAGAAACCCAGTTGTTATATGGGCACAATCATTATGTGCACAGAGATTAATTATCTCAGTTAAATTCTAAAAGTTTCAGGTGAAATCTAGGTCTTTTCCCCTAAAAATAGCATTAGGCCTTGGCATGAGTCCTCAGTTCTGTTTTCTACAAGAAAACAATAAACCCCAACCAGAAAATGGATTAAAGCAAGATGCCAAATTTAACTTTCTACCTATACTGATCTACAAACAAAGCTGTGCTTTAGGCCATACATGTCCGTAAAGAGATTATTAGAGAAATGCAGAAAGTGTTTGACAATCAGAATTTAAATGGGAAAAAGTTGGATTTACTCTTCTGATGAACACCAAAAGTCAGAGCAGAGATTGGCTGGAAAATCAATAGATTCCTCTGACTGATTTCCAACACAATTGAATGCAGCAAGCTGAGAGCAAAATTCTGGCCCTTTAAAATTAGATTCTAATGAAGCTTGTTCTGGTGCTGACAGAAATTATGTTAATCATGTCATGGGAAAGATGCAGAACAAAGGGAAAGATCAGAACGAAACAAGACAGATGTTAGCACTGAAAATGAAGGGCATATCACTACTAAACTAAGATAGAAAGGCTCATACTTTAAAGAAGTTATGTTTGTAAAGAACTCTAAGCTTGAGGCAGTTTCTTAGCAAAGAAATCCCCATGGCTGGTGTTGACATAGATTAGTATGAGAAGATGAAAAATAAACTGGGTGTCCCCAATGCCTTGATAGAAGAAAATATGTCCCACACCACACCTCTCCTAGGCAAGCAAGCAAAACCGAGGAGCTATGCACCATCTTATTAATTTGATTTTGTCTGTATTCAGACATGTGCCAGCTCTGAGCAACTTCTTTCTTGAAAAGATGAGCAAGACCCTCAGTTCTGTGACTTATCAAAGTTGTAAAACGAATATGAAGAACACAAGACGTTCAAACATGAAGTCTGGACTTGAAATGCAGGTGGCTAAATACACCCTGTGTTGGTCCTTACGTAGATCATCCAGTTGCTGTAGCGCTTTCTCAGATTGTACAGCACAGACGCCTCGTTCAGATGGGTCAGCATAGACATGTCCTCAATCATGTCGAATTTGGGAGGGTTCATTGTCTGTACGTCATCTTCTTTTATAGTCAAGGTCTACAAAGACAAATAAGTACAGAAACACTGGAAAACACTGGGATTTTCTGTTGCTTCACACACCTTATAGGAGAAAATATATATTTCCCCCTGTAGAGGGAAGTTCTTCAGCTCAGTCCATACATAATATCATTTGTTTACACAGATATCAGAAGCATGGGGGAAGGTTGAGATGACAAAAGTAAGAAACATGATGATATGGCTGCAAAAGGAGCCATGAAATTTGGCTACAGCCTGGGTTTTACCTGTGGGGACCAAACCAGAACTGGCTGGTAGCAAACCTCCAGGCACAGACTGCCCATGGCTGTGTGGTGTTTGACGATCGACTACCCATCACTGTATCACTGTTTTTCCCTTGATGGTTTTCTGAGTGTTATCTTATCCTGATGTGGTACCACTTACTGGGGCTTCCCTTTCACAGCCCATTTCATGAAACAGGCAACTGAGCTTAAACTAAGACAGGGAAATTCTGGAACTTGCAGCTCTGGCCTTGTTAGTCACAGATCAGACAAAACCAGTTTTGTACCCTTCCATCTGTTGTCTGCACAGTCACTTTGCCTTCACTGCTTTCTGTAATTTCAGCTTCAACGTAAGCTTTCTTCTCATCAGGAACCCAACATTTCTTCTTCCCTGTGAAATTGTGGAGATTGAGGGTTTACAGGCTTGCATCAAACAGTAACGCTATGCCTACCTAAGTGAGATTTCTGGGTTACTTTTTCTGCACAAGTGACACAAAACCTCTGGGATTGCAACAGATTGGCAGTGCTGGGAAACTGCCTGATGAAGCGAAAGGAGTAGGGCTCCCAAATGTTGTCTCCCTTTGAAACTACGGCTCAGCTTCCTCTAGATCTTTCCAACACAAGGTGTCAAAATATTTCACTAATGCTGGCTAAGCCTCAGCCTCCACGGGAAATCCATAATCATTATCACCAGTGTGCAGATGGAGAAACTGAGATCTAAGCCCAAATTAAGGTGTAAGCTAAAAAGTCACACAGAGAATTTCAAATTGCGCAAGGAATTCAACCCACATTATTTGCCTGCCAGCCATCAGATTTAACCTTATTCCTTCATATTTTTTCTGAGGTTTGTGTTGAAAAACAGCAATATTAATAACCTACATTGAGTTATGTATGTGCCTTTTTAGAGTTTGGAGTAGCTGCACTAGACTTTAGGTCTTTAGTTACAGCAACTGTTGGGAATAGTGAAAGGCTAAAGTTATTGGCATATTTACACTTACTACTAAACTTCAGGGCTCATATAAACCTATTTCATGAAAAATGAATTATAAGAAATTAAAAGTTATCATCACATTGTCATACAGCCTGTAAATCAAACGAGACATCTAGTGCGGCCACAGAATCTCTCATTACTGAATGTCTGTTGTTTTTCTCTCAAAATGACAGAGATGATTCCTCTTTTAGCAGAACAGTATTGATACACCTCGCTTCTAAATCTAAATAATTACTCACTTACCATAGATTATTTTTATTTTGTACTATCTGTAGTTTTTTAATAGCTTTGCCAAATTAAGGAACCAGAACTTGGTTGGACCTCCAGCAGCAGCAGCACAGCAGTGACAAAGGAGGCTTTGCATCCTGCTTTGCTCTGCATTTCCTTAACTACACTTGGATGTAACCCTCATCCCTCTTAACCAGCCACTGGCAGCACAAAGGTATTGCAACTCACCATCGAAGGCAACGGTCTGAGCCTTCATCAGCTCCTTCTCGCTCTTTCGGAGGTAGGGAGCAGCCTCCCCAAACTCTGACATATCGACCATCATCTTGGCAAGGATTCAAGGTGGCACAGCTCACAGAGGAAAAAGAAAGGCACCTGATCCACCAAAGAAAGAGGGGGGGAAAAAACCCAAACAAATGTCTATTTTGTGAACGATCCAAGGCAATATAAAATGCTCAGCACAACATGGCAGGTGCATGATCAAAGTGATGATTAATTTGAATCACAAATACCCGGGTTTATGATTAATTTTAATCACAAATACACAGGTTTGGAGCTATACTGCACCCTTAGTTAAACCCTTCCTTGGCTCAGCGTATTTAAAGTCACTCAGACTTTGCAGGGTTCAAAAACCTCGACATGGGTCACAGTTATCTCCACAGGAGAATTTTATCTCTTCTTCATGGCACATATGGTGCTTAGGAGCAGGAGGGACCACTTGAAGCTGTGACCACTTGAAGCTGTGATTTTAAAAACTACTTAGCAGGGGCCTCTTCTGGCCCCTTTCAAAATTGCCTGGAGCAGAGGTATGCTCTCATGCCGGTCTCCCTGGAGCTGTGCCACTCAGCCACTTCAAGCACCAGCCCAGGCAGGCATTTTCTGGGAAACACGGAGCAAGACTTCACTGCTTCAAACTGAGAACTGTTGCAAGGGTGTGCGTTATGCCTTTGATGTAGCTCCAGGGACATATGCCCATGCTCTCGCTGCAGAAAGTCAGCACCGGAGCTGGAAACAGCTCTGCTCCCTGCAGGGCACTCCTCTCATTGCAGGAATCAGCATGTTAATAAAAACAGGACTAACACGGATTGGGGAGTTGCTGTGCTGGTGCAGCTTCCCAGGTTGCTGGGATCTCCGAATTCACCAGGTCTGCTCCTCCAGCAGGGCGTGACATAGAGCAAGTGTATCTGCAATATTGGTGCAAGGGCTTTGGTTTTAGATTGGTTCGAACATATTAGTCCAGCTTAATGCCTAAGCATGTTTTCTCAAATGACAAGGCCGTGGTGTTTAGGAGCCTTTTATCATGAAAGAGAGAGCAGGGGATATGGGTATCAGTGAGACTAATTTTCTGGGTTTGTACTGCCAAGTAATTAATTTGATTGTTTTGTACTCTCTAAAGTGATCAAACACATATGTTGTTTGTTTGTTTTTTTACATACACAGACATAAATACTTGCACACACACACACTGACGTAAATACTCAAAGTGCTGTCCAGAGAATGTCTAAAAGAAGTTCCACTGCTAAAAGGTGTACACACACAATTTTAGAGTTTCAGGCATTTTTTTCTTCAAAGTCAAGACACCATTCAATCACTATTCAAAGCTGTATAACTGACCCTCAGGTATAATCTCTTCCTTTATTTAAATTCTTGTGCAATATCCAGAGCAGTTGGACAATTTTTTGAGAACCCTATCAAGACAGACACTGTAGTCTTTCAAAATTTAATTCAATGTATTTCTAAGAAAATCCTGGTAGGAATAAAAACTCCTTGCTAACCAAGGCAGCTTTTTTCCAACACATTCCTCCTGGGGAACGTAAAACCCTAAGACAGCAGAGCTGCCAAAGTGTTACATCCAGCAGTACAAGCTGGATACCTTCTGTCTTTTTGCTGTAGAACAAAAATTTTCTTCTTCAGAATTAACCCTAATTTTTTGTAGACTTAGAAATAATCTTTTAAATCTTAATCTTTTTAAAGATTAAGGGCCTACATAAGCACAAGTATCTCCAATTATTTCAACATGATCTGAACTGACCAAAATTCCCAGCTGGAGACACAACTCAATACCAGCCTGGCAGAGTCTCTCTCCCTCTCTAAGTGTGTCTCAGCTCTAGTGGAGCAATGAAATTACATCAGTTCATACATTTAAACAGAACAGCATTAGAGTATATAAGTGTCATTTCACATTAAATGTGCAAATGCCAGAGGGGCCACTCCAGTGTTAATCTCTAGGACTCAGGGCAGGTTCTCACAAGTCATAATATACACTAAAGTGCTCTGAACCACTTCTGTGCAGCCTAGCTCCATTTGCAGACCTCTTAGGGACAGTTACTCAACTATCACCTTCTTGTCTCTTCCCCATCCCCCCATATTCAAGGTGAACCACTATGGCAAGTATGTTATGGTGTAAAGCAGCACTATGGCAGCTGGGAGAGAACCCCTTTTTCTTCAGCAGTCTGTGTGTTTGGAGATACGGCAGAGGTTGGAGCCCAGGCAGCGCACACCTTGTGGGTGCAGACAACTCAGTGAGGCAAATCCATCACCAGATACAAGAAATTGGAAATTTTGTTTCGTTATGGACATATTTTTAAATTGCAGAATACTCAGGAAAGACAAGGCTAAAGCTAAAGATGTTCTAGCTAACAACAAAAAGAGCCAGCCCCTGTATATCAGTTGTGGAAGAGTCTTGAAAACACCTACTCCCTGTAGAAAGCCAATACTGTTGCATGAAATTAAGTGGCATGGTGAGGACCACCGACAATTCGATGGTGCATTCAGACTCAGAAAGGAGGGACTTTGTCTTTGCTGGGACTGTTGGAAGAGAGACCGTAGTAATAGCAGCAGATAGTAACACAACGGCAACAACGTCAGGTATCACTTGGCTTTGAAGGGAGCCCAGTAATTTTCCAAGGGTTGTAACTCAGGTTGGATTAATGAATGCCTTGGACCAGCAAGCTGCTTAAAATTGCAAATTACATAAGCCATCATCTCTTGCAGATGATACAGAAGGCAGAAAAGATGACTTGCAGGTACTGCAAGTGCATTCCACCCAGATGTATAATTACAAGGGACCTGACACTTCCCTAAACAGTTACTCCAGTTGGCTAAATGAACTTGCTGGTGTTAGAGAAGAAACATGTACTTGCCATTCTAGCATTCAAGCAGCATCCTAGGATGACTAACATAGGCTAGATGTTTACTGACACTACTACTAGACCACATGAAATCCTTAGTCACACCAAAACCACGGTACAGTGTTAGAGCACAGCACCCGCACTTAAAAGTGAGAGAGGTTGGTACTCACCCTGGAGAGCACACAGAATGTGTCACAACTCCGCCTCATCCAGACTTTATATGCCCCTGTCTCAAGGTCACTGGTGATAACTGTTTAAAGGCATCAGCAGTTTTCCTCCATGCCTATATTTGTCCGCCGGGTCCCAGCTGAGGAGACAATGCCCAAGGCGGGGACACGAGTGGCTGTGCCCTGACGAAGGGGGGCAGGAATGTCAGTGGGGAGAGACACTCTCCTCACTGCTGGCTGCCCCTCACCACACCATTCTTGCTCCATGACTTCATGGAAGAAGCTTTTCCTGCTTCTGTGTTTTCACTGGGGCAAGTATTGCTTTTCCAAGTGCCTCAGAACTTAATTAACACGGGCTTGTGTGTGTGTGTGTGTGTGTAAATTAAGACTATTCAGACGTAACTCCCCCGGAATAAGAAAATCAAAGCTTCTTGCACAAGGGATAAGTGATAGGGGAATTTGGTTACATGACTCAAACTGCCTTCAAGCAACAAAGCTAGGATGTGGGTTCTCATATCCCAGTCCAGGGCTTTAAATCCCCTTCTTGGGCCCAGGAGTTTAAAAGCCAAGACTATAGGCTCAGGTTTGGCATATACAGGTATTCCCCAGAATTAAGAGTGTATTGATTCTGCCTGTAAAGTGAATCACAAATAATGAAAAAAGTAGGCATCAATTTTAGAGAGTGTTTTGCTTCAGTAAACTAATTTATGAGACCAAGTTTAGGCAATGTCTGACCTTCTTATCGTAAACTCATTTTTCCTGTAAAACAAGCACCGTAAGTAACTCAGGTCTCATTTCACTGCAACCTATAAATAGCAAAACAACTGACACAGTCAGATTGATTTGCTTTTACCAGCATGCGTAGATATATATGTTCCCTTTGGTTCTGTCATAAACTGAATATAAAAGCAAGAAGGAAAATAAATATTGTGGATAATGCTTGTTGGACACAAGGGAAGACAATATATTATTAGGGCTTTATACAAGTCAATTTCAAGGAAGTGAGGAGGGAGCTTAGCCACAGCTTCACTGAATTCCTAGATACCCACAGGAACAAGTGGTTTGGTTTTTGACCAGGCAAGAAGGAAAATGTCTGCTATACTGAGTCCGCTATTTTTAAAGCTGTTGCCCTGATGACTGGACAGGGACAGGTTGCACAGACAAAGTAGGTTTGTAAGAAACAGGAATTTATGGAAGTGATAGGCTCAAAGATAGAAGACTGATGTGGCAGGTCTGAGGATCTGAGTGCTTTAGTAACTTGGTATTTTTAGCATTTGGGGAATGCAACCAAGAGACAGAGAATTGCTACTGCTTTGCTAGAGACGTGCACCTCCAGAGCAGAGCCCTCTGCTAAAGCTGAAGTTTTCTGTCCTGCTCTGGATACACCTGTGAAAGGAACCTCTGCTCAAACTGAACATGATCAGCTTGTGTCACATTCCAGAGCTTGACTGACTGTTACACTTAAACCAGAATTGCTTCCCAGCCTGCTGCTTTAGAGGTGCTTGGTGCCCTCAGCATGGATCTATGTTGATGTCGGATCTAACTCACCGTCTTTTTGTTTATAGCTGTCAAAACAGACAACAGAGCTGGTGATTCTGACTGCTTGGGTGAACAGCGAGTGATTGTGTAAACTCAAGCAGATGCTCCTGATCATGTAGTTTGAAACAAGGTAAATTGCAAGCATCACCAAGATTTATGGACACCATTAATCTGCTGTGAAAACTGAGAATATGATTATTTTAAGTGATGAGCATATAACACACTGATACTCTCTCCCTCTCGCTCCTCTCTCACAGTGCCAGTAGCTTTGCTTCTAAACACAATATTCCCATTACCACCTACACTGCTTAGAAGAAGCCATCTTCTTACAAATATGCTGTTATCACTTACATTTTTTCTGTTCTGCAAATATTCAGCTTTCATCAGTCCTGCATGAACACTACAATCTCTCTCCCACGCCTCCCTTTTCTTTTTTTGGGGCTGCAAACAGCTGTTTCCATCACTGACTCTAATGTAATTTCAATGCT